TCTATCGAAGGTCACGGTCCAGTGTAGTCCCGTTTGTAAAAAAAATTGAGTGTAATGTTGGTTGCTATACTTATGATATATTTGCTTTTAAAGTTAAATAATTAACATCTAACATAATTAACATCTACGATAATTAAATAAAATGTAATTTTCTTAGAAACTAATTAATAAATAAACTTTTCTTTTAACTTTAATGAAATATTCTATCATCTGATTACAGAACGTACACTCGTGGCGACATCTCTGATTTTAATAACAAATTTTTAGACCGACCCAACCTCACTTTCTTCCAATTAAATTCTTAGTATAGTCTGAAACACGTTTGGAATTGCATATTCCCCTCTCGTGAAACCGTCAAACTTGTTACAGAATATACTATTCTTTTAACTGTAAACGCAAATATTTCAGAATTGGTGACAAAAAACAAAAATGTTTACGCAGGTCAGGTACAAAGTGAAAGATATTTAAATTGTGTGGATATAAAAACAACTTGCGTTAGTTTCACGAAATTTATTAAATATTGACAATTGTTTCGCTACACAGTAGCTTCTTCAGAATGTATTAAACTAATACTAGTACAAAATTTATATGTATAATAAAAATATTTTTGTATTCTAGCCTAGAATTTCTAGGTAAGGATTTTTATACGACATCTACCTGTGTTACATAATATAAACCACTGCCACTACAACGTTTAAAACGATTATTAATCCGTAAACACACAGTAGAAACAAGATATGCAAAAACAAAGATCATATGACATATAAAAACAAATGGCCGACGGTAAAGTTGGTTGCCTTACTATGTAATAAAATAAAATAAATTCCTAAAACACGAACTCTACTGACTTCCAATAAAATTAAGTAACAAGCTAGGACACAAGCGTCATATGTCCATCTTTGTCCAACACCTAGGCAGTTTTACATCACAGATGGCGCATTTTAGACCGGATGCTTAAAAACCTACGTGTGAGTACATTTACCGCTGCATCGAATGTACAAGACAAGTAAAACATTACTGCTAGCATGTCTGAGATATGTTCGGCACCCGATGAGTCACGTTCATATATTGACGGTTTCTACTGTACTCGTCCACATCATTTCTACAACGTTTTTCGCTTCGTGCTGACCAAGACTTATCTGGTCCAGTTACAATGTATTTTCCCTATGGTTAGCTTGCAAATGAAGGTATTAAAATTTAATGTTATTATAAATGTCAATTTTGTTGGGTAGATCAAAAGTAAGGATATCACTGTTGCCAGTAGTAGGAAAATAAAGCACAAAATTCGACGGAAATTTACCAATTTATTTCATATAGTTTATAATATACAAGTACAATATTATTGTACTTTATATAAAAAAGTCGTCTATAAAGCACACAAAAAACGGTTATTTTACTTTACGTTAATTTTTTACGACGTTATTTTCAGTTTTTAGATTAAAGAAAAATGTATCGCTACTTTATTTTTTATTATGTTTATTATATTGCATTTTCATTTTTTTTTTTAATTTTAATGTTGCCAAGTTTCTAATTGTATTTTAAATATTTTTTTTATGTTTTAATGTCGTATGTTTAAAACGCACGCAAAAGGCACGGTTTCTCACGATGTTCGCAAAGGCATGAAAACGCACGCAAACCGTGCAATTGCACGGTCATTGGCAACACTGTAATTTTGTTACGATGATAACAGCCGAGTGGTGGCGCTACTAGCGCCCAACTATGGAGAAAGGCAGTAACTGCTAAACAAGAAATTTGTGGGAAATTAGCATAAACTACATTTTTATAAAAAGCAGTAGGTATTTAACTGATTTATTTAACTTACAAGATAGTTTACTGCATTTCTTTGTTGAATTAAGATACAAAATGTCCATAGCCAAAGCACAGGAAAACGTATTTAGAATTTGGGAAAACGGGGTTTTACAAATCAACGTTTCTAAATATGAAAGACATAAACAATATCTAAATATTCTATTTAGAGACACAAATTATTTAATAAACTGAACACTTATCTTAAATGATACTAAACAATCATGTATTTTAAATATTTTGTGCCTACGCGCTGTCACCCTACAGCGCATGTCCATAACAAGCAGTGTGATTGGTCTTGTCAAAGACCTTTACGGTGAAAGATAAAACTTAAAAATTTCTACGGGAGGAAGGAATGCCGTCCTTTCGGTACGGAAATCTATAAATGGCACTACGATTTAAATAAACATTTTTGACGTAATTGTCAGCATTAACATTGCCCGTTATTAATTTTAATTAAACCTATCAATTATTGATACTTTAAAATAACTTTAAAATATGATTTTGTTAAGAAAATATTTTATCCTTTGATTTTTTTTATTACTATAATTGCAAAATATTATCACAAAGTATTAAAAATTCTTACACGGGAAATGTTAATGGTGAAAATTACGTCAAAAATGTTTATTGGGTTTCGTATTATTCATCTTCTACGGGAGGAAGAAAGGAAGGAAGGAAGGCAATCTATAATTCAGGTTTTATGCTTATTAAGCACGCATGTGCATTAGGGTGGGCCAAAAAAATTATTTTTTGAATTCAATTTAGGGGTACCAAAAAAAAGTTTCCTTATGCCAAAGGTAGTTTGTAAAAAAAAATTTAGCATACTAGCCCAATATTTAAGGGTCCCCCTGGGGGCCCAAAATATTACTTTTTATATTTTGTTTGGGGTGGCAACAAAAAGTTACATTATGTTGACAATAATTGTAGAAAAAAAATTAGCGTACTAGCCCAATATTTAAGGGTGCCCCGGGGGCCCAACATTTTTTTTTTATATATTAATTGGGGTAGCCACAAAAAGTTACCTTATGTTAACAATATGTTTACAAAAAAATGTACAATATTGGAGTTTGACGTAAAAAATTTGGCGGTTTAGCAAATTCTAGGGTTAAAAATGTTTATAAATTTGGAAATGTTTTTTTAAAATAAAAGAACTAAAAATATTTAGCAAATTCTAGGGTTAAAAATGTTTATAAATTTGGAAATGTTTTTTTAAAATAAAAGAACTAAAAATATTTATAAGTCAAGCAGACGACTTCTATATAAGGTTCGGCAAGTTTCCCTTTCACAAGCAAGCGGTGAAAAAGTTTGTGAAGCTTGTAACAGAAGCTGCATTAAAAATTTGCTGTGAGGTAGCAAGAAATGGTTACATCTTTACCGGCCTATATGACAACAAGTCTCAATATTATTTAAATAATAAAAAAAACTGGGTGGGAGGGATCGGATGGAACTCGAGGAGCAAATATCCAATTAATTAATAATAATAATAATAATAATAATAATAATAATAATAATAATAATAATAATAATAATAAAAATGCTTTATTGCGTAAAACACAAAATTAATTACACAAAAGGCTGCGTTTGTAAGGACGTTCTTCCATACCACCTACTAAGAAATTAAATCTATTTTATTCTGCATATCACATATTAATTAAACTAAATCCTATAATTTCATATCACACGTGTGGTACCAGTTAATAACAAATTTTTGTACTCTAAATTAAATGTGTTTGGATATTTAAATATTATGTTAAAGAATGTTTTATCGTTCAAAAGTTCTATAGGTAGGTCTATAAACGAATCCTTAGATTTTGAAGTTTTGTGACTAGGTATTTGAAAAAGATTGTGTTTATTGGATCTTTGAATAGGGCAATTATTAGGTATTTACTTTCTGCACTAATTTTCCAAAATTATGCTTGTAAGGATCAATTATTTTTAAATGCTTGTTTTCCAAATAGATTGAAGTAATGGGGTCAAATTTTCCGACTAAATATATGAATCTAATTCATGAGTTTATTTTTTAATGTTTCAGTATGATATGAGTAGTAGACTGGCATGCAATAGTCTATAATAGGGTGTATATTAATGTTGAAACAATTTTGCACTTGGTGTTAGAATTTAGAACATACTTAAATTAATATAGTGATTTCAGCTTCATATAACACAAACTAAGTTGTCTTGTAACATGGCTTTCAAAGTTCAGGTTTGTATAAAAAATAACACCCATATTTCTTGCTGTTTCTTGCTGAGGTATTTCTATATTATTTATATGTATGGTATAAAAATTATATTGTTTTTTATTTATCATATATACTGTACCAATATTTATTACAAGACTCTTTTTGGCATTTAACTGAAGTCGATGATTATCTGACCAAGCATTTACTTCTTTTAAGACTTTATTTATTTCGATAGTGGTTGTGTTAATTAATTTAGAGTAACGCAAAATCTTTTTATTTATTTCGATAGTGGTTGTGTTAATTAATTTAGAGTAACGCAAAATCTTTTTTAAATTTAATAAAATCAAGCTAAGAGTTGCTATTTTTTTCATCAAAGGCGTCTTAAAATAATAAAAAAAAAACTTAGACTGATACAGGCATTTGGTTTGTCTATGCAATAATACATGGGATAACTTTTTGTTGCCATCTCAATTAAAATATATATAAAAAAATTTGGGCCCCCCAGGGCACCCTTAAATATTGGGCTAGAATGGCTATTTTTTTCTAAACATACTGTTAACATGAGGTTACTTTTTGTGGTTACCCCAATTAAAATATGAACAAAAAATATATTTTGGGCCTCCGGGGCACCCTTAAATTTTGGGCTAGTACGCTCATTTTTTTTTAGAATTACTGTTAATAAAAGGTAACTTTTGTGGTTACCCCAATTAAAATATGATAAAAATAAATATTTTGGGCCTCCGGGACACCCATAAATATTGGGCTAGTACGCTCATTTTTTTTTCTAGAATTACTGTTAACATAAGGTAACTTTTTGTTCACACCCCAGTCAAAACATACAAAAAAAATATTTTGGGCCCCCGGGGGACCCTTAAATAATGGGCTAGTACGCTACATTTTTTTCTAATAAATTACTTTTAACATAAGGTAACTTTTTATTGCTACCCAAAAATAAATATCTCAAATATTTTTTATTTTACGTTTTTCGGCCCACCCTAATGTGCATAAGCACCGTTGTCACAATTTTACTGCATTGTGCACAGAGAAAATTCTGGAAAAAGTCTATTATTTTGCAGCGGCACTGCAGCAGTGAATGTCAGAATATATAACACCCTTTGGGCGAATCGTTGACGTGGGTTTTTGTGGTGTTTTTCGTTGAAAATAAGCGAGAAGTCTATGCTTCAGCGTAGATTATAAACAATAATTCATACGTATGTATAATCGCGCCGGTGAGTGCATTTTAACTGATCTTGTTATTTTTTCAGCTCAAGGCCCGGTGTTTCTACGCAGTTTTATAATCTGTGTTTCTACGTTTGTATTATTTTTCTTGTGGGTTAAAACCTTAGAATAAGGTAAGAAGTAGACTCATTTTCTATGGCACAACACACAATATGCCCGGCTTTTTTCCTGATATTAATTGACATTACATTATAATTAATTATGTTTTTGAATGCAGCATTAAAATTGTTGGTTATGTAGGAGTCAGTGTTGCCAGATTTTTTTTCAGCCTGGCGCACAGCCGATAAAAAAAGTCGCACAAAAGTCGCATTATAGTGCTAGTCTAGCACTATAGTCCATTCCATTTATGAAAAAAGCGTTGAGTTGAATAGGATTTATTATAGACCAATCACGACGCTTAAAATTGTGGCTTTTTTTACAAAGGCGAAAATTTAAAACCCATCTCTTTTTAATACGTTGGATGTTGAACTACGTTATATCAACATTGTTGATAGGTATAACGTAGTTCTCATACACTGAATATTTTCTTATACAGCGTTGCCATGGCTTCTAAAAACAAATTTACAAACTGACATAATAATATTATACAATAAACCAGCAAGAGTTCTTATAATATTTAAATTATAAAATTATATTATATTAGCTTTTGTCGTCAATTTGTCAAACATATTTTAAATATAGAAAGAATTTATCTTTTCAAAAGGTTGGATTTATCGCACATTGGCATCGTAGCATCAGCTGTTATAATACAAAGTGTATATTTTGTTAATTTATTGTGATTTTTTGGCTTTATTTAACGTATTAACCGTTGTTAATTAATTTTTAATGAAAAACAGGTAAGTCAATTACATTAAAATCGCTTAACATAACCAAAGAAAAATATTTTTATATTTTTGAGAGACAATATTGATAATATGGACAATATAAACAATGTGGAAAACCAACCCTCTGTCCTAAAAAACAAATCTGGCCAATATATAGGACGAGGTCAAAGAATAATACTTTTTAATATGGTAAAAAACATATCGATGAAGGAAAATCAAAAAGTCCCAGTGTAAGAAACTGGTATTTCAAAAAGTACCATTTGGTTCACCATAAAACAAATGGAACATGATGGAAAGGCTACATCACAGAACATACGGGCTACATCCCCATTAAAGAAAAGAAAGCGGGCAATATGACAAATTAAGTGAGGAACAAAAGAAGCACCTAAGAAAAGTTGTTCATAACTTTTTTATAAATAATAAAATACCAAATTTAAGTAAAATTTATTGAGTAAGTAATTATGTTATTGAAATATGTTTAATAATTGATTTGAAAAATGTTCCCTTACTGTAAATAATAAATTAAATAGAGGGTAGGTATACCAGGTGCTGTCAAATAAAAAAAATGGGTTTAGCTTTAAATAAATATGTAAGTTTTTATTATTAAAACATACAACGTGTGTATAAACTACCTAACTGTTTTTCATTTTTTTTTAGTCTGTAAAGGATGATAACCATCAATTTCTTGGACAAATTTATGGAGAATTTTAAAAAAACTTGACTTCAAGTATGAAAAAAGGTGTAGGAATCATTTACTGGTTAAAAAAAGTAAAATAGTTATTTGGAGAAGAAAATATATTGATATCAGGAGTTATCGATTACAGGATCAAAAAATATATTACATGGATGAGATTTGGATCAATGCAGGACACAAAGCCCAAGGTGTGTAAATGTATTTGAGTAAAAGTCAACAGAGAATTATCATGAGGATATTAATGGAACTGTTTTTGAGACTTGGATAAAAAATGTTTTACCAAAAATAAAAAAGAACATTGTTATTGTGATGGATAATGCCCTCTATCATTCTGTTAGAATTGAAAAAAATCCATCAGCAGCATGGAAATTAGGAGGCCATTTTGACGTGATTTGTCTCTGTAAAATTTTGTTTTTTTTTATAAAACCTTCATTAATTGCATTTGTATTTTATTTAAGCCTTACTTAAAAAAAACTAGGTTTAATTTTTTAAATAACTTTTTTCAGTGGGGTAAGTAGGGTCTTCATATGTAAGGTGTTCAGAATGAATGTAAAAAAAATCCAAATTTTTACAATAGCTATTTTATTTTCTTGATATCACTTAATTTCTTAAACCCAAATTTCATTATATGTTAAAATATAAATCGATGAATAAATAATAGATTAATTAATTTCATTCGATCAATTTCATTAAATATTCCTTGGCAAATAATGTTAGAGTAGCAATCGCTTATAACGAACCGTTGAACCATGAACGATGGTTCGCTGTTTGTTATTTTAGAAAAAATAAACAAATTTCATATAGGTGGGTACATATAGGACATATGTAGGTATACTTTATATTAAAAAATGCACTTTTCAAATCCATGGATGTATGCTTACACTCAAAGAAAAAATTATTTTTTTCCCTTCATTTACCTACCATTTAATTTATCTTACATTTTTAATAAAACTCGGTCTACTTATTAATTACTAAATTTTTATATTATAAAATTATAAAAATTTATTAAAACGTTAAAATATTAGACCAGTGCAGAAGCCTTTAAAAATGGTAAAAAGAGAAAAAAAATAACAGTAGGATGAAACCCATTGGAAAAGGAGGGGAATATAATAAAAATTAAAGAAAAAATAAATTACGGGCGATCTGAGTTCAGGAAGTGGGAGGGGGGGGTTTAAGGGTAAAAAATGGTTTATCTCGATTTCCGACAAAACTACAAGTCCTATGGAAAAAAGTTATATGTCAAAGTTGTAGGTAATAAAAAGATCTACAACTTTTGTATTTACAATTTTTTCACATAACCTCAAAATTTATGTGAAAAATTCAAAAAATCAAGTTTTTGGTTTTTTATTTTTATCTTTTTCAAAAAAAAAAAATTTTTCCACGAAATTTGGTGAAAACTTACCTTTTTATGTCCCAAATACACAGTAATTTATTTGATTTGAAATATTTATTATTTCGCCTTATTTTGACTTAATATCAAAAAAGCACCCTAATTTTCAATCGAAAATTCTCGCGTCAAAATATCAGCTTTTTTCAAAAAGTCGGTGTGCTTTTTGTTTGATGAACTCTCTACTTTCTGATGGTGTAAAAAAATATATACATTACTTTGGTAAATGTTCTCAGAAAATACAAAAAATATTATAATGAATAACGTAATCAGAATGAAGTAAGTATCTAAATTCAATAGTATGATTTATATGTATTTTTATATTTTATGAGATTTTCTGACATAAATGTTATTAGAATTTAATAAATAAACTTTTTAACTAAAAAAATTGCAACAATTACATTTTTTTGATGAAATTGTACATAATGATTAAAATAAATTTTCGAATTCGAGTTTTCTTCGTTATTCATTATAATATTGTTTGCATTTTCTGAGAACATTTACCATAGTAATGTATATTTTTTACACCATCACAAAGTAGAGATTTCAACAAACAAAAAGCACACCGACTTTTTGAAAAAAGCTGATATTTTGACGCGAGAATTTTCGATTGAAAATTAGGGTGCTTTTTTGATATTAAGTCAAAATAAGGCGAAATAATAAATTTTTCAAATCAAATAAATTACAGTATATTTGGGACATAAAAAGGTAAGTTTTCACCAAATTTCGTAGAAAAAAAAATTTTTTTTTGAAAAAGATAAAAATAAAAAACCAATAACTTGGTTTTTTGAATTTTTCACATAAATTTTGAGGTTATGTAAAAAAATTGTAATTACAAAAGTTGTAGATCCTTTTATTACCTACAACTTTGCCATTTAACTTTTTTCCATAGGACTTGTAGTTTTGCCGGAAATCGAGATAAACCATTTTTTACCCTTAACCCCCCCCCACTTCCCGAAATCAGACCGCCCGTAATTTATTTTTCCTTTCATTTTTATTATATTCTTCTCCTTTTCCAATGGGTTTCATCCTACTGTTATTTTTTTGGTTTCAAAAATTATCGACCCTGGTCTATATATATATATATATATATATATATATATATATGTTTCCACATCAAAAAAATGAACTGACATTTAAATAAGGAATGCAGTTAAATAATTGACGTTATGTTGCTCAAATTATTGTTTATTTCTTCTTATTTTCTGTAAATAATATAATACTTACATGTCTAAAGGTCTTAATTAATATAGTAAATTATTCTTTCATGGTTGCTATGATTTGTGCATATATGCAATATATTTGTTGTAACATATTAATATTCTATCAAAGACAACCGCCATTATATTTAAATTTGACGCGTACTCCTGTGTAAACCTGTCTCGTTTTGCAGCGACATCTACTTTATTCTTAAATGGAATGGACTGTAGAATGACAAATAAAAATTTGTTTTAAAAACATTTTATTTTACAAATTTAACAAATTCAGTATTTCAAAACATATTTTATTTATCTATGTATTAAACCTTTCAGTAAGGGACGATCGATCCACAATCCACACAAGGTCTGTTCTATCTCGTTTCGCGCATACTAAAAATCACTGCAACACTGCACAGAATCTAACGGCGGCCATTTTTATGTTGTTTACAATTCTTGTGCTTTGGGTTTGTACTGTTTATTAAGATTAAAAATCGTTTTAAACTTTGTGTTTTTTACAGAGACTATAAACGAGATGGCAGTAGCCGATTTTTGCACAAGTTTAATTTAAAAAGTAGCCCAATAAGGCGCAGTGCGACTTTCTCAAAAAATTTGGCGCTATATAGTGTTAAAAGTAGCCCGAAATTGCGAGAAGTCGCCTAATCTGGCAACACTGGTAGGAGTATTCACAATCCACACATGTGTGGATTGTGGGAGTATTGAAAACAGTTGTTGTTTGGAAATTCATATTTTTGTAGTAAATTTTATGCTTTACAAAAAAAGTATTTTGATTTATTTAAAATAAGATTTAACATTTTGATTGTCATTAAGTATCTACTTTTTTTTGAATTTATAAGTGTTTTTTTGCTTGGGTACCACCTAAACTATTTCTTTACCGTCTACAAACAATTTAAAAAAATAATTTTTAATTATTTATTTTAAACTTTGACCTCCAATAACATTTAAATAAATGGTTTTACGAAAAAACGTAAAATTTCCTACAAAATTTTGT